GGTAAGATCAAACAAAGCCACACGGAGTAAGTTTTTCTCTTTCTATTGCTCTTGTTGTTCTGTCTTTTTCCTGTTTTGTTTCTGCTTGTACTTTTTTCACTTTGCATTTTGTCAAACAAAAAGAAAAACATCTAAAATGTAAGCGAATTTGGAAGTTATTCAGTTGTTTTCATTTTCCGCGCTCAAGCTGACATAAGTAACCGCAAGTGAAATTTCACCTCCTTAGCAACGCGCGCGAGCCCGCGCATAAATCGGTTAATGGGCCCTTAAACACGGTTTTGTCTTTTCAGGAGGTGTTACTCAATGGAACAGCTCTGGCCGTTTGACAATATTTCTGACTACATACTGCACTGTACACAAATAAATTCATTTGAGTTAGGGAACAGTACCCGTAAACAATTTGATGGCAATCGGCACGGCGGAAAAACCGCTGATTGGCTGAAAAATCCGTTGCAGGAGGGAGAGGTGAACACGTCAGATTTGGCTGACCCTATGATCATGGCCATTATGACGTCACGGCGAACGAAGCGCGCAAATGCACACAATTTTCAAAAATGGCGGTATGAATCTATGAAGAACCTGTCCATCTTGCTGAGGCACTTACAGGTAGATGTGAGTAAGATGAAAAAAAAAGCAAAAGAATAGGGAGGCCAGGAAGAAATACCTTTTGTGCCGTGCACAGTTTAAAAACAAGGTAGATAGGTACAAAATAGTTAATATCAGAAGAAAAGATATTCACACAGCGAAAAGAAAATAGAATCTATAGGAACTGAGTTGGCTGTACCATGCTGATCAGGTAGATCATCAAGAACAAGGCAATTAAAAAGCAGAAGAAAAATAAATGGAAAGGAGACGTCCTAAGAGTTCCATGTAAAACTCCAAATCCTCTTAACTCTCTTCCGAAAAACGAAGAACAACTTCACTCACCTGATGATGGGCTCTTTTCTATAGAAATAACCATTACAGGGGAACTTTCCTAGTGTGAACAAAGGTGACTGGAATGGCAATAAACCAGTGAAAGAAAGTGATAGGAAGAGCAATAGAAAACAGTAAAACAAACAAAATAAAAACAACTAGAAATGCCTGAAAATCCTGAAATGACATAATTGTGCATGTGCGATCCAACAAAAGGTGGCATCAAAGTGATAAGGAATGTTGGTTTGCATCTTCAAATCGAGTTTTGGCCCATTTGGCAACAATGTGTTGGGAAAAGAGTCGTCAGTTGGTAACAATAGCTTGGAATGGATCCATGGGTTAAAGCTGCTTTAACTTCTTTGAACGAACTGCATCTTCTGAGTGTTCATTTTTACGTTTAATGGAACTGGTAGTTTGTTCTGTACTCTCTGTTGTTGTGGATATATTGAGTACATTGAGAATGCTTTGTTCATTTTCCAGTAATAGACCCTTAAGCTCCTTGCATGATGTTGTTTCCTTGAAATGTATAGCAGAGGATTTCAAAATATTGAGGTAATTTTGCTTCACTTGCTTTGTATCCGGTGTGATGCTATTTTGAAATGCCACGGACATGAGATTTCTTATTGATGTGGCATGGTCTCTTGAACTTGATGTGATGTTAACTTGTGACTCTTCAAACAGCAATATGTACATATGAGAAGGTATTTTCACTTGGGGATGTTTCCCAACAAATTCAGCTTTTCCATTGTTCCACATATCATTGTATAAATACCACCCCTCCTTGTATCTTTTATCATGAACAAATACTTCACACCAGAAGTGAAAATTATGATGGTATATGATTGCTGCAAGGTCATATTTTTGTTTGTCAAGGTTGAGGTTTAGTTTACTTGAGAGACCTGGTTGAACTGGTCTGCCTTCATCTTTATCAAGCTCAATTGCCATTAGAAATGGGTTGTTAATGATCATGAGTGATGAAGATTGAACTAGTTTACCACCACAAACAGGACTGTCCTCATTTGATTGTAGGCAAACACTTCTTCGTGAGCAAGGAACTTCCTGCTGCATCAATAGCTTCTCGATAACTCTTACTGGATCGTAAGTTGAATTTGTGATGTCTGTCATATGGATGTTAGAGCTGTGTATAAAATATGTACTGAAGGTGTTTTCAATAACACGTCTATGATAGCATTTTGTGCATTTGATTTCTAATGATTCAGTTATAAAGATTGAATTTTTCTCCTGTTCTGACATTTCCTTACAAAGAGCACTAAATACATTTGAGATGGCAGCCGTCTGGCCAAGAGGAAATGTTGCATGGCCATTGGTTGTGTTGTTGCGTAAATAGGACCACAACACCATTTTGCTGGAGTGGAACTTTCCTTGTTCTCTGGTCACAATGGACTCAAGAATTGTATCCATAGCTGGTGTTGTCTTGTTGAAATGTGTTGTAGCTGGTGTTATTTGCCGTGTAAAGGGATGATAGATGGCTTCAAGAAAGGTATCTATGTAACAGGAATTTAGTATTTGACCAGAACCATATGTGTAGGATTTAAAGGTGTCCATGGTGCTGCTGATGGTCCTAGGTAATTTCTTGTCACAGGGATGTAACTTGCAGATGACTTGAAGTTTTCCACAGCCATGACATTTGTGTTTGGGAGTGCATTCATTTTTTTCCCAGAACAAGTTGAAGTGACTGTGTTCCATGGCATTTTCCTTTCTACAAGAGGCAATTGTTTTTAAGAGTATTGACTGATCACTTATTTCTTGAGCTTTAGTTTTCAGGAACTCAAGGTTCATGTTCCAGGTTGGTATTTCACCAGCCAGTGCTTTGTTCCAAAATGATTTCAGATGCACAAGGAGTTCTTGAATAAATTCTTCATTTCTTTTGATCAAGTAGATGCATGTGCGTCTTGGAGTCCAGCAAACAAACTTAACCTCCTGTGCATATTTAATCATTTCCTGTCTTCCCTTCCATCCCAAAGCACATGCAGCCCTGCTTCCATTAACTTTTCCTTTTCTTGCTTCCTTCCAAGCATCAGAACCTTGGTTTAAGAATCTCTCACTGAGACGTATCCCACTGCCATCACAAGGTTGAATATTGACTAGCTTAGGATGGTCTTTTAAGTTAACTTCAGGTAGGCGAAGTAGCTGTATTGTCAGTGGGTCATGGTGGATATTGATGTCCTTAGCTTTAGGTGTTGTTATGTTGCCATAGAGCTTACAATTAGTAATAGTTATTTTACAGTCTTTTTTTAAGTGGCCATACTGTCCACAGCTATAGCACCGTTGTCTTTGAAGCCAGGCAGAGTCGTGTGGCATTTCCTTTTTGCACTCCTTTGCCCAGTGTCCTTCTTCTCCACATTTGAAACATTTATCTGTTGGTTTTGACCTGAGAAAGGGTTCGTCAGACCTGTGAAAAGGTTTCTCAGATCCTTTTTCAAAAGTGCGGAGCAGCTGGCGTATTGCAGTTTGTTGTTCTTCACTTCTTGGATTCAATTCGTCAATAGCCAGGAATGTCACACATGTTCTTTTGCTGAACTTTTCACATATAGTTCCAAAGACCTCAACTGTTGAGTGTTCATTAGCTTCTACACTTTTGTGAGTCATATTGACCTGTATTAAGAGTCTATTCCATGCCATTTTCAGTCCCTGATCATTAAGTAAAGACGTACGTGCATTTAAGAGAGTGTATTTGTGCCAGTTTCCCTGAATAAAATGGGTATTCCTCAGCTTATAATTGAAAAATTGTAAGAATTGCATAAGATATTTCCGGTTTTGTTCTTCACGAAGAACGCTAACTAACTTCTGTCCATATCCAATGATGACGCTGGATGATTTAACATTTATGTAGTCAAACACTTGTTGCACCTGTCTGTAAAGTTGATGTTCATCTTTTTGACTATGAAATTTATTTGCTTCTTCATCTTCCAAGTTAAGATCTTTTTCATTTTGATGGAAATTACACCAAGGTTCTTGTGTTATTTCTGCTCTGCTGTTGACAATACTTTTCTTCCTTTTCAAGGGCACAGAAACATAATTTGGAGTTACTACTGTAGAGTAAGATCCAATAAATGATGAACTGTCCATGTCATTCTTTTCAGCCTTAGTTAGCAGATCTGTTGCCAAACTTGCATTACCCTCTAGATACTGTTGAACTGTGACTTCCCCACCAGCAATTCTTCTCCTCTGTAAGCTAAAATAATTTTCAACGTCATCCTGATTTGTAGTGCGAGGAACTATAACTACATTTGAATAATTGAGCTGAATGTAAGAGACCAGTCCTATGAATCCACGTATTGACCTTACGAGGTCCTTGTATGTGTGCTTGGGAGTAAACTGTTTCCAGTGTTCTTTTAAGGTGCTTGTACGATTTTTCTTGGTTTCCTCAATGTTGTTATTACATCTTTTGAAGAATAAGAGTACTTGAAGCAGGTGATGTACTGCATCCTGATCAAGCGAAGTGCTGTTCATAATGCGGAAGTACTTTGCCACTTTCCTTAAGTATGTCCGGGTCATTAAGGTTTCTTTAAAGCCAAACTTGCTGTGCAGCATCACATCGTCAGCAACTTCACTCGAGCATGTCTCAACAGCCCGCTTTACAGACATTTTATTTCTGGATGTTGGAAAAAGATGTTTATATAATTTGGTTAAACCACGCTCTGCTACCTCCATTAAGTGTGATAAGCTTATTTCAAAGCCATGATGAAAGAGATGACGATTTTTGGAAATGATGAAATTCCTGAGCTTCTTTATCATATGAGGTGGATCAGATAGCCAGAAGATTGCCTTGTTGTTGTTGTAAGGGTTGTTCACCATCCAGTTGATCTCACGTACCTTGTTGATTAAAGAAGGCTGAACTATGAGTTGCTCCATCGCAAACCCCATATAGGACCTGAACTTGTTTTTCATTGTTAGTTCCAAACTTGATCTCACTCAGAACATTGATTGTGTTCCAAACACAATGAGACAATGTCTTTGCATTTATTTTGTGGAGTGGGAAGCTGGCCACTGGCCAGGTGAAGTCTCCTTCCAATGAAGACCAAAAGAATTGAAGGATTATTTTTGCCATAGGTTTCTGAGAACTAAGACTGTCAGAACTGTCTTCACTGGAAGATTCACTGCCACTGTCAGTTTCAAAAACTTGTGCTGCTATTTGTTCCTCTGACAGATGGTCATCAAAGGCTAGTGATTTAGAAATGCTCTTTGGTATTTGTAGATCTTCAAATCCAATCAATTCATTCGTTCTTGCACAGACCTTGACACCTTTCTTTACATGTATCTCGTCCCAATGTATACCACCTATTCCTTTGTTGTTTCGTCTTGCTAGCTCTTGGGAAAAGACACTAAGATTTTCATGGGAAATTGTTTCATATGACTTGTGAGACTGTCGATATGCATTTGCAGTTGAAATGCAAGGAATGGGTAACACATCTCGTATCAATTCATAACCGCCCTTACCACATCTGTTAGCAAGTTCGACACACCACTTCAAAACAACAGGGTGGAAACGCATTCCTTTAGGGTGACTTTTTTTGCCTGCTTCAGAATTCTTCTCTGTTTCTGACTTTATGAGCGAAGTTACTGTGTCGCATAAAAGGGCATACAAAACAGAATTTTCATCAAGACATTGTTTGGACAGTGCTTTTTCCACTAAAGAACTGAGTTTAAGGGCTGTTAGGTTGACATTCTTTGGCAGTTGAATGAGATTTTCTTTTCTTTTCTCTTGGTTTAGACGCATTTGAAGTCTACTGTTAGTTTTCCTTAACTGTTTTATGTATTCTGCCATTTTTTGACACCGAAAAGTAAGCTGTTGTTGATCCAAAGAAGCCAGTTTTGTTGTCGAGTGCAGAGAAAGATACAGGTTGTTTGTGTGAGAAAGTTTGCGAACACACTGTCTCAATAGCTGTTTGCATGGTTCACATCTTACTTGGGTGTTTCTTGTCAATGGTGCTGGTAAGACAAACTGACATTTGCTTCTATTGAAGTTTGTACTCCGTATTGTTTTATTTATGGTTGTCATTCTATTCTTGGAATGATGTAGCGTATGTGCCTCGTCTATATAGAACATTGCCTTTCCATCTTTGTACTTGTTTTTGTAGTTGTACTGTTCACATACTGAAACCCACTGTTCTTCAAAAATTCCACAGCATATTGGTACAAGTTGGAGACTGTTATACAGGGATAGTATTTCTTCAGTGAGGCACTCGATGGACATTTTTCTATGTGGCTGAAGAAGAAAATGGGTTTTTATGGTTTCACCAAGAACAATGTATTTAGCAACAATGGAATCTTTGAGGAAGTTGATTAACAGCTTTTTGTTGTTGGTAACCATGCCATTAATGAATACACTTTTTGACATTGTCAGACTTGATTTTTTAACAAAACCTACAAACAGGTTCTCTTCCTCCTTTGTGGCTTCTATGCCTTTTTCAAGGACTTCCTCTACTCTGAATTGGTGTGCTTTCATTAGCTTTTTTGATGATATCTTTTTTTGTTGCTCTGATTCCTTGGAGAGATGTTTTTGTTGATGGGCAACTTCCAAATAGTTATTTGAAATCTCTGTCAAAGTGCCCTGCATGACAGTTGGTTTCATTTTGGTGTTGGCTTTCTCTGACCCGACATCTTTGTAGTTTTTACCCATGAGGAGTTTCTTGACCTTTTCTTGCTGCACATCAAAAGCTCTTTTAACTTTTGCCAATTCAAGAAATGGCTCTTTACAACTCATGCAAACATATGAAGATCTTTGAGATAAATTGTCACTTGTTTGATAAAGATCTTCATTGTCAATGACTGTAGTATTCTTTGTGCAGTACTCGGAGAACAAGCAACATGATATTGCACTGTTTATCAACATACCGTTGTTTAATGTATGAAGAGTGTGTTGTATACATGGTAGTAATTTTGTTGTTTTCACATTTTGGCAGCATGCAAGACATGTCTGTTCTACAAGAGTTGTGAAGTCACTGGGCAGCTGGTAGTGGCGTCGATTATCTTTGGTGTAGTGCACATTGCACACTTTTAAGTTCTCAATTTTGAAGTCCACAAAGAGTGGGTCAATTTCATAAAGACCTTTAAGGGTCCTGATATTTTTGGCTGTTGATCCACAGGTATTTTTACAGCCCCAAATAGCACATCTTGGAGAAATTCATTTGTAAAAGAAAGAGAGTCACATCTTAAACATTTCAGTGCTTTTTAAAACAGTTTAATAATTAATTGAAACAATTTTAAGACCATGATATCACTGTCTTGGGAGCACCCATATGGCTAGTAACGATTGTACTTGTAAGAAACGTAGTGGACTCCCAAAGAAGTCATGTAGACTAAATTGTATTGGGGAAAATTGTTAAGGGCTCAGTATACATGTATTTTTTTTGTAGGAGGGAGAAGGTGTGAAGATTCAGTATCTGTATCTATTTTAATTTAGTGGAAAGCCCTTCTTTTTTAGGTGAAACAGTGAGACAGCCCTATACAAAGCTGTTTCACCCTGTCAGT